CCAGCTAAATGTGTACAAACCCAATATTTGTTCAGGCAGTTACCAGAAACACCATATTTGTTTTATTTGGTATTACTCTAAAATTCTGTGGAGAACTCTGATAATAAACTGAAAAATAAACCATGACTTTTACGTTTTATTTTGGGTATACGATGTTGGTAGTAAACATCAACACACACCAATAAATAATTATCCAGCATACTCGCCATGAAGACATCATACATGTACAGGCAATTTTTTTTTTTTTTATAACATTAATACCAATTCAAAACCTAGTATGTGTACATACTGTAGAACATATTGAAATATCTACACATGTGTACCATTTTAGCGAACCTGACTGAATTTAATTTAAGCGCCAACAATCTTAGTGTGAGAAAATACTTTATTTTAAATTAGTGAAATGTTGATATTACAGATTAGATAAAATAGCTTAAATAACTATCAACCAAAATTTGTGATTGACTAACTTTTTTCAGGATTTCATAGAAATTCAAATTAAACCAAGTCAGCTTTGGCGTGATAGATATTTTGAGGACTACATGGTGATTGTAAAATAAACTTCAAAATGGCAGCAATGTCACAAGATGTTGACAAATACTAGACTATTCAACCTTTTTACAATGAAGCAAAATTTGATTATGTCATTTTTCACAAAGTAAACTTTTTTTTTTCAAACATTTTTTTACAACAAAGAAATAAAGAAAAAATAAAAGATGATGTACAAAACTACATAATACCTACAATGCTTATTATATTCAGGCATCCCCAATAAATTTAAAAGGGAACCACTCAATCCCATGGATTGCACCAAAGAATCATGGGACACTATTGTTTATGTTGTAAATCTATCTTTTGTTATCCATTGTAATTTTCTCGACCTTAGTCATTTTCACTGACTTCTCACCCAGTGTTCCACAGCAGCTACTGCATATAGCCCATAGAAATACATTGTGCAGCAGTGCTTGTCAAGGCAACATAAAATTTTCTGTGAAGTAGCCCCGCCCCCAATATAGTGCAGTTGCGTGTTCAAGATTCTGACTTTTATCAAAATCTAGATTAGAATGTTTTGTCAAAACTGTTTGATCTGCACCTTTTATCAAAATGATAGATGGAAAGTTGGATCATAAATCATATTTTTTTTTTATTAGACGCATAAAATCCTTAGGAAAGGATAAAAAGGGTCTTACAGAAAGAAATTTAAAAAAAACAAACTACAATCTAAAAAGTAAAACAAAAAATAAAAACTTTTCTAAAAAAAATAAAACAAATCAAAAACAATAAAGACAATTTGCAGCCAATGGTGAATACAGAATATAGAATGAACACAAAATGTAGCCTTAATACACTGATAGTTGTTGCTGTTTTGTTCCATAGCTGTTTTTTAAGAAGACAGCTAAGGCTGGTGCTAGAGTATGGTTTGCCATAATCAAAATGAATTTATTCTGACTATTTTCTTTATCAAAATTTGGAACTTTATTTTGTGCAGTCAGGAATAATTTGTCCCTACGGTGACTGTAAGCTGGACATTTCATAAAAAAATGTTGCTCATCTTCAACTATATTTTGGCTGCACATATCACATGTTCTTTTATCCAGCGGCACATTATTATTATATTAAGTTGGCAGTAACAGATAGGTTTGACCTTTAGTGAGTACAATCTGATTGGACATAGAGAGATTGTGACTTATTTCTAAAAGTGTTCGAAAAAAAAACTCGTAAAAAATCAACACAAATCTGTTAATTCGAAAGATCAAACAAATTACAAATAAAAATGAATCGGGGAAGTTTCTTCTTTATCATTTTGGTATTATGAATTAAGGAAGAAACCAACTCATAAATCAGATGACAATATTCATTGGTTTATTATGTACAATCATGGGGCTATTGTCCCATGGCACCATATAATAACATCATTTTGTGTTGTACAGTGACATATTTTGAGAAAACTTAATATTTTTCAAATAATTTAATAATATTTTTAGAATAATTCCATAGAACACTGTATACTGTCAGCCAATCATACACATGCATCAATGTCATAATAGTGAAATGTAAACAACAATTTTTGTACTAAATTTACTGGTCAGTTATGTGAGATTAATTAGTGAAAACTTTTAGTGAGAGGGTGATTAAACAGGACGTACTAGAACTGATTAAAAGTAATGGTACTGGCTTGAGAGTCGCATCTGCATACCAAAATCTAAAAATGGGTACCGGGTAGTTTTGAATCACTACATTTTTTTACTTGATTATTTGTTGCTAATAAGTAATTAGGAGCTGCAATAAAATTATTAGGAAAAAAACAAATACTATATAAATGGAAATACTATATAAAAGGAAATACAAAAAAAATTATTTTAAACACTAACAGGAAATGAATCTAATCCATATATTCTTGTACAGTCCCTCAACGGCATTAATAAAAGGAATCTTTTCATAATAATTTCTTCACATATCTCATAATTGTAATGCTGAGTGCTATCGCCTAACGGAAACATAGTAATGCTACGCCCTTTGTAATATCTTCATCAAAATAAAGATTTGTTTCACCATTTTTACATAGGATATGACTAATATTTTTCATCATATTTTTCCTGTGGACTTTGTAGCTTTCACACTTGAGAACAAAGTGTTTTAGTATTGCATCACCTTTCTTGCAGCATGGACATGTACAGTCACTATTGATATTTGCCCACTTTCTTTTCTCATAGGCAAGCTGAATTTTCAACTGATTTTACATATTTTCACAATGCTTGATCCCAGTTTTAAATTTTTAAATTACATTATGCTTGACACAACCTTGAAAAAAGACTACTAAGTGTGTATGTCAATAACTGTAAGTAAACAACTCACTGGTGACAAGGACTGGACAAGTTAGGGGTCGACCATTGAAATCATGAGGGGTTGCTAGAAAAAATGGCAAGTGGAAAGACCTTCTGTATCACCCCATCACTCTAATTCCAACCTTCTAACACCCCCTAATTTAATTATATGTCCCTCCTGAGGAAACCTATCCTAGTTATGTACATACGGTAAAAATATAGTTGTGGGTCGGGTGGGGGGGGGGTACAGAAGAAAGTCTTTCCAAAATAAAACTGTGCAGAAAAGACACAGCGAAAATAAATTTAAAAAAAAAAGATCACACTCCAGCCACCCCATGATTTCAAATAGCTGACCACGTAATTGTGTCACATTTTCATTTATTCAGGGTAATTTTTTTGCATTTTTGTCAAAAATCGAATGTAAAAAAGGAGTG